TTGGGAAGAAGACGGGTATCTCTGCTTCTACAAGTTCAGGTAGATCTCAAACCAGAGGCAGCTGGCATCTTCTGGACAGGAACTTGGCATTATGATTTGATGAGGGTTTAATAGTGGTCTACTCTTTAGCCATAGAGTATCATCTGAATAAGTGGACTCACTGCAATCTTAGACCATTTGTGCTACTGTATCATCACCGAGGAAACACTTCTATAGGGAAAAGGTGAAACTTGAGAGCAAACACACTAAAGAATGCCGAGCTCACCTTAAGATAAAAGCTGCAGGGGTGCCTGGGTGGCTCAGTTGGTTAAGCATCTGTCTCTTGACTTGAGATCGAGCCCCACGTCCTGCTCTGTACTGGGTGCAGAGCCTGCTTAAGATTCTCTCTTTCCCTCTCCTTTGCCCCCTACCCTCTCAAAAAAAATTGATAAAAAAGATAAAGGATGTAAAGCAGCCAGATCTATAAAGGAGGAGTCTGTGGTCAAATACTGCAGTGTTATCTAATCCAGATTACTGATCTACTTCACAGAGGAGTTGGGACATGACACCCAAACTCCACCTATGAGTTTCCCTTGGGCACTCGAAATTTCACCTAGTAAAAAGGCAAAGATTCCATTAGGGGAAAGTATTCTTTTCACAAGCACCCAGATTTGATGTGTGGCTTATCTAAGGATATAATCTTACAAATGTCTGGAGTTTGACCTTTAGGGTCAAGTGAGGAAATCAACTAATCAACATTAGATACCAAGTGCCCAGTTTTATACACAGCTCCACTCTGGCAATGACAAGAGAATAATAGTGACTATTAAGGCCAACTGAAAGCAATTATTCAACGAGATACATGATCAACAAATATTTCTTTTTTTAAGATTTTATTTATTTAAGAGAGTGAGCAAGAGAGTGAGCGAGCACACACACAAGTCGGGGGAGGGAGAAGTAGACTCCATGCTGATCAGGGAGCCCGATGCAGGGCTCGATCCTAGGACCCTGGGATCGTGACCTGAGCCAAAGGCAGACGCCCAACTGACTGAGCCACCCAGGCACCCCTTAACAAATATTTCTTGAGCATCTATTCTGTGCAAGACACTGTATCTCTGCTAAAAGTCATATGAGTCAGGGGCCCTTCCAATAAGGGGCTAATGACTGAGTTAAAAGGCTAAGACATATTCCTATGAGAAGATAACTGCAAGGTAATCTACAATCAGTGTCAAATGAGTCATATGAACATAATGACCAAGGGGTTTCAGAGGTACAAATGAACAATTCTAATGGATGATCTGGAAGGCTTCCTGGAGAAGGCTGGACTTGTACTAGGTGCTTTCAGTTGGACAGGACTTTGACAGGTTAAAGAAAACAAAGATCATGCTAGACAAAAAAAAAAAAAAAAAAAAAAAATGGCATGAGCAGGGTACTAAGGCACAATGCTTGTTTGGTAGCAGATCACCTTGCCTGAACTAGAAGACTTGTTTTGAGCAGTAGCTGGGGAAACAAAAAGCTGAAAAGAAGGGACCATGGGATCTCAGAATTTGAAGGGATCCTAGAAATGATCAAATCCAAGCTTTGCTCACCTTATCCTCACACAAATACAGATTTCCCTAGTGTGCGACCAATGTTTAACATACATTTTAGTAATGGGTCTAGATTCCTAATATCTACAGGCATTGTAAATGTGGCATAGTAGTTAGAGATAAGCTGTGGAGTTGCAGGCCTGGCTAGACCACTTGCTAGATGTTCACCCTTAGGTTAGTTTATCAAACCTTTATTTCTTCACCTACAAATGTGGATAATAGTATACTCACTGAAAATGGAGGTAGGGAGAAAAAGGAGAGAGTCCTTGAAGGAGACAGCAAAGGAAGAGGAATCTCACAATAAAGTGTATTGCCAAGGAAAGCTGAAATAGAGAGAATTCAAGGTAGGGGAGGTTGTTTACAGCATCATATGAACCAAACAGGTCAAGGTGGTTGAGAGCAGCCAAAAGACCACCAACTTTGACAATTTGGAGGTCACTGGTGACCTTTAAGAAATCAATTTTAGTATAAAAGGAGAGAGGCAGATTGTAGATAAAGATGAGCTAAGAGGGATGGATGGGAAAGGAAGAAAAACAGAAGGTGTGGTGAGGAACTAGAACTACAAAGACCCCTTCTCATTTGCAGTGACAAGAGAGGGAGAAAGATGGCTTTGATTCAAAGGGTTCACAGGGTTCAGGGATATAATGGCTGGATGTGTAGTTCAGCTTAGAACTGAAATGGCCGGTAACTCTGTTAAGGACTTCCAACCCTAGCCTTCCTACTTGCCAAGATGCAGGAGATGGTGACAAAGGAAGAAGGAAGTTTCTACTCACAAAATATCTTCTCTCTTCCTTTTGTCTAGCACTGCATAGAAAGAAAAATGATTATAAAGTAATCTGCCCATTTATAATACCATAAGATTGCCAGCTGAACAATTATAAGAGACTCCCTATGTAGTAAAACCTCATTAATTTGGACTTCACTTTTTTGGAATTTGTGATAATTTCACCTCGGCTGGAGTTACAAAGAAAGGGTACTACTTACAAAGAAAGGGTTCACTAGGCAAATAGTGTAAAAAAAGATTGCAAGGGAGCTAATTTAGCCTGCCAGGGCCTATTTCACCTATTTAAAGAAAACAGTCTTTTTTAAGAACTTCAGCATATTCATTATTTGAATGCAAACTGATTCTGCTAATTATAGATTAGCATAATCTGCTGCTAAAATCCTATATCTGCAACAGTTACTTTGCTCTCACTGAATATGCTCATTAGAAATAAAACTGCAATTCTTTAAAGTTAGTTCACAATTCAGATGAATCCATACCCCCTTTCTCCACCATCATGAGTTAACTACAGTTCAGGAGGTATTACTCTAAACTAGCACATCACTTATCATGAACACAGTGGAAAAACTAGTAAGTGATCAAAAAAGGCCTCAGAGCAGCCAAAATAGATGTCTTAAAGTTGATGCCCTAAATCCTATAACTGTCTCCATAGCAGGTTCTCTTACAGCTGATCTAACTCTTACTTAATGTACTAATCTGACATACCAGTTTGGAGCTGGCTGGGTTTTTTTGTTGTTTTTTTTTTAAAGTTTGTAACTGATTAGAAGGAGAAAAAGGGCTGCTGCATGAAGGGACACTGAGAAACCAGAACTGACTGACTGCAGACTGTAGAAAGGAGACAGGATATATATAAAATATGGCTGTAATAACTTAAAAGCTACCAGAGTCTAGGACATTGTAGAGATAAAAGTCCTATATTCCTTAGCAAACCCTGAAAACTGTAATACAGTATTATGGTGCAGTACAATAACTAATATCTGGAATTCTGCCTCTAAATGATCAGAGTTGAATACATGCCTTAAAAAGGCAGATACGTTCACACACACAATTTGTATCCATAATAGTTAACCTAAAAATGTGAAATGTGTTGATGCTTAAAAAGATAAAGTTCATAATATTATATAATTATAACAATAGCAACATTTATTAAATAACTACTGTGTGCAGATATCATGCTAAGCACTTTACCTATATAATTGCATTTAAATCCTAAGAAGTGGGTTTTAGTATCATTTCTACTTTACAGCTGAAGAAAGTGAAACTCAGAGAGGTTAAGGAACCACCCCCAGGCCACAGACAGAAACAGGGCTGGGATTAGAACTCACACCAGTTCCTTAGCTATAAACTATGCCTTTCCAGTGTTCCAGAAAATACAGCTCTCTAAAAATCACTCTTTTCTTAAGGGCTCCAGATAGCTGTGTCTTACTGTGTTTTTGTTTTCCGAACCTGTATTTGACAAATACCTTGATTTAGAAGCAGAAAGACCTATAATCTAAGAATCAGATATGTTATATGTTTATAAACATGCTCCATGTTATAAGGTGAATATAATAGTAAAAAAAAAAACCAGAACAAAACAAAAACATCATGAACGTGTCTATTAGGTCCATCCCCAAATCTCAGGTCAGTCTCTACATACTACGGATACTGTTTTCAAATGAATAGCCAAGCAACAAAGAGATATATTTTAAAATGCCAAATGATCAGTTAAGATTTGGTTCTCCTAATGCTTCCCCACTCGTTTTGGAGAAATTTAACCCAAGAATAGGCTAATGGAACATGAAGATAAAGGGGGATTGCAGGGGAGGATAAAAACTCAGTTGGCTGTTATAAACGATTTAGGAAAATCTGCTCATCACCTGTTCAAAGAGCTATGCGGGCATAAAATGCATGTGGCAGAGTGCATACCGTGGGAAACAAGGTGGTGTTGCGGGCTGCAGATATATGTGGTTATCTGCATTACAAGTAAAAGTAAGGGTAGCACACCACATGTACAAAGAAAAACATACAGTGAAACCATTCATTCATGCAGTGCTTCTAACTTAAATCAGTGCTCTTTATTCATCTTTTTTTGTCTCAAGCCTACCCATTCAAGGGTCAGCTACAAACGTCACTTTTTTTTTTTTTTTTTTTTTTTTAGAGAGAGAGGTGGGGGGAAGGAGAGAGGGAGAGAGAGAATCTCAAGCAGGCTCCACACCCAGCACAGAGCCTGATGCCGGACTTGATCTCAAAGCTCGACTTAAGGCTCAATCTCATGACCCCGAGATCATGACCTGAGCTGAAATCAAGAGTTGGACACTTAACGGCCTGAGCCACCCGGCGGCGTCTACAAATGTCACTTCTGCTGTGAAGTGTTCCACGATGCCCAAGGCTGAATTACACTCTTCCCCGTTTGTGCTCCCATTGGTTTTTTTCCCCCTTTTCCACACTTACCACAGTACCAGTGATACTGTCTCATTATTAGAGTGATTCACGTCTGTGTTTTCCCTCTCCTCCCTCTATCCCACCATGAGTTCCTTGAGGACAGGGGACTCTCTCATTTCCGTAGTTCCTACAAATGCCCGCACAGTGCCAGTCACATACTAGGCTCTAGGAAAATGGTGACTCAGCAGCACTGGCTCAAGACGGTGCATTATTGCCTAGCTTACCTGAAGGAGCATTTGTTCTCTTTCTTTTCTTGCTGGACTCCCCTCCATTCTCAATGAGGCCTTCTGTGACCAGAGGGCCACTGGCACTACCAAACTGCAGGGGTTCGTTGTTGTTGGCAGGGTCAAAGGGCAGCTGGTTCAATCCTAAAGAAGAAAAAGAAAGCCAAAATCCAGACTCCATTAAGGACTGGGATGTCTCTAGATAGGAGCCACTAGAGGAAAATTTTCTAAACCTTTAAGAACCTAGGAATAACAGGTGAGTTCCTTAAAGCCTGTTGCCCTGTGTAGTTTTTCCAGATTTTGTTGAAGAGTACAGAATGAAAATGTAGGGTCTTGTAAGACTGTGGCTCATCTTTGAGAAGATCCCTGACATTTCTGGGAAATCAACATTTTTGGCCACAAGCTATCAATTAGCTTCTACCTCCTTCCTTAAAGAGATAGGACCCTCATTAAGTGTGGCTATGGTTGAACCCACTCTTCCTTTGAAAAAGCTTGGTCATGTATTCCTCAGGTTATCTCTCTTTTTTTTAAAGATTTTATTTATTTATTTGAGAGAGAGAGAGAGCAAGAGCACAGAGGGAGAGTGAGAGGGAGAAGCAGACTCCCCACTGAGCAGAGAGCCCGATGTAGAGATGTGGGGCTCGATCCCAGGACCCTGAGATCATGACCCGAGCCGAAGGCAGTCTCTTAACTAACTGAGCCACCCAGGTGCCCCTAATTCTTGAGACAGTGTTGTAAAGGTCAACAAAAGCTTGGAGTCCAGTCAGCTAAAAGTCAATCAAGTTTCAGTAAAATGAATGCTAAGGTTCTAACAAAATGTCTTTACATTATTGTTTTTAGTTAAAAGTACCCCTATGCTAATGTTTTCAGCCCACATAACAAATACCATTTCTTCAGCAATCAGACTTCACTCAGAACATCTCCATTAAATTTCTTCTGGGACTTGTCAAACATTCTTCCTTATATCATCTGAGTAAGTGAAACAATGAAAACTCCTGTATCTTAAGTCAACTATTCACTGCATCATATCTATGTTCTATTAAATCCCTACTATGTTTAGAACTAAAGAAACAAACATCAATTGCTATGTATTAAAAAACATTCCAATAATGACCAAGACGATTTACAAGGACAAGATTTTAATACAATTTACAAATGAAGATGTTTCTTGCACCTGAGTGGTCCCAGAATCAAATGTGAGTAGTGTACTATTGCAAAACTTTTCTTGGTGTTTCTTTCTGCAGTATTATACTGAACAAAACAAGTTCCATGGAAGATGGAATGGTATCATGGAAACAGTATGTATTTTGGACCTGACAGATTGGGGTTAAAATCCTGGCTGTGTCTTTTACTAGCTGGCAATTTGTGTAATCTCCCTTAGTCTTAGTTTCATAATGTGTAAAAGGGGACTGATAACATTTGTACTGGGTTGTTGGAAAGATAAAAAAGATAAAATATATATATTTAAAGTTATTATTATCCTACTATTCTAAGTGAATTAAAAAAAAACTTTTCTCTGTAAGTTTGTAAACTCTTCTTAGGAGGATAGCCACCCCAACACTCTACCCTCTCTCCCCACTCCCCAACTGTATCCTTGGTGCCTATCACCATGCCTGGCACATAGTGAGTGTTGGATGAATTAATTAATACTCAATAGGGAGGGGGTAGGTGACTCATTCTTTTAACTTATGTAGTTAAAGACGTGACAGCTGATAAGAATTAATGCCACAACTTAAAAGTTCTGGTGCTGATTATATCAACATTACTTAAAATAATTAGATTTCAAATGCATCTCCATCATTTGAGTACTATACTGCAGGATGGTGAAAGCTTGATCAAAAGAAATGCTCAGGGATTAGGAGGTTCTGATTAATGACAGTTAATCAGAAAATTTTTTCTTACTTTGTTTTGCATTTGATAATTTTACAGAATATATTAGTCCATTTCCCTGCCTTATTAAGTAGATGACCGAAGATCTTACAGAACTTCAGAGCCATAATCCATAAAGGGAAGCTAATAACAGTGCCTAACTCATGGGACTGTTAAAAGGATTAAAATGAAATTATGTATGTAGAACATTCTGCATTACATCTGGAATATAGCAGATACTCAATAAATATTAACTGCCACTACCATAATTTTGAATTTCTATTTCTATTCCATTTCAACTTCTAGAATTTTTTTTTTTTAAGATTTTATTTATTTGACACAGAGAGACACAGCGAGAGAGGGAACACAAGCAGGGGGAGTGGGAGAGGGAGAAGCAGGCTTCCTGCTGAGCAGGGAGCCCGATGCAGGGCTCAATCCCAGGATTCTGGGATCATGACCTGAGCCGAAGGCAGACGCTTAACGACTGAGCCACCCAGGTGCCCCTCAACTTCTAGAATTGTTGATGTACAATGTGAGGAGAGTGGTCTGAAATTGCTCTGATCCAGGGATAGACCCTACTTCCCTCATTGAATCTTTTCATTGCTGTTTGAAAAGTTGGAGTTCAGGAAAAGAATCTGCTAATTAAAAGTATTCATTCATAGATATTTGACTATAATTGTTTTGCCTTTTATTTAGTCCCAGATGATAACTTTAGGGATTTAGGTATTTTGTTCCTCATACTAGCATATATATTTTTGTTTGACACTAAATAAAACTGAGATTTCAAGTATTTTCTGTGTATCCACCTCAGATATGATCCAGATATGTGAAAATCCTGATAATTTAGTGCACCATCTCAGGCCTTTTTTTTTTTAATTTTATTTATTTGACAGAGAGAGACACAGCGAGAGAGGGAACACAAGCAGGGGGAGTGGGAGAGGGAGAAGCAGGCTTCCCGCTGAGCAGGCAGCCTGATGTGGGGCTCAATCCCAGGACCCTGAGACCAAGACCTGAGCTGAAGGCAGATACTTAAGGACTGAGCCACTCAGGTGCCCCTCAGGCCTTGTTTCTTATAGAAAAGGCTCTCATATCAAGGTGAGAAAGACCTGTCATTCAGTAAGTTGATTCACTGCATATGAATCCACATTTTATTTATTTTTATTTTTTTATAAATGTTTAAATCTTTTTTTTTTAAGTTTTTTTATTTATTTGACAGAGAGAGACACAGCGAGAGAGGGAACACAAGCAGGGGGAGTGGGAGAGGGAGAAGCAGGCTTCCCTCCGAGCAGGGAGCCCGATGCGGGGCTCGATCCCAGGACCCTGGAATCATGACCTGAGCCGAAGGCAGACGCTTAACGACTGAGCCACCCAGGCGCCCCGAATCCACATTTTATATTATCAGGGACCCAATACAGTCTCCAAAGATTTGTAGTTTAAGAACAAGGGCTGTAGAGATAGCAAAATCCTTTGACACCAGTGCTTTCTAGCCACTTTTATTGTATTGTTTTATTTCTCCCCTAAGACAACACTAAATAAACCAATAAGTCAGTAAATCAATAGGTACTTAGAGACTTTTCTGTGTCATGTATATGTGATCCAAGCTGAGGGCTACTGTAAATAAAATAGCCCCATTAAAACGATTTAAGTTCTAAAAAAGAAAACTACCACTTTAAAGAATTCTTACTGCAGAAATTATGACTTAAATGTAAAATATTAGCAATGACCATATTGTAATTGTCACTGAAACTACAGAATTTATCTTTAAATCTCTTATGGAAGCTATTTCTCCTATTTTTCTACTAGGCACGATGAAACCATTAGATTAGGAAGATATTAGGAAAATATTAGATGAGGAAGAAACTTTTGAGGTTATTTAGTTCATTCTTTTATGCAGTACAGGAATCTTATCTATAGAATTCCTGACAGGACTAAACCCCGGGGGTTGGGGGGGGGACTTCTTCACCTGGGGACCATTCCTTGCTGTGCTCCCAGAGATTCACCTTGCTTTGCTTACCTTTTTCAAAACTACCACCTCCTCTATTTTGAGGGTTCCTTTCATCTCCCCCAAACTGCCTGTGAAGGATGATGCATTTTATTCAACTATTAACTTGCTTATTGTCCCTAAAATGAGAGCATAGCATGTCTAACTTTTTAAAGGTTCTACTGATAATTACAGCAAGAAAAACAAATGAGGGGGTAACAAATAGTTAACAGAGCAATGTTAGAAATTTTCCAAAGTCTGGGGCACCTGGGTGGCTCAGTCATTTGAGCATCCGATTCTTGATTTGGGCTAAGGTCATGATCTCAGGGTCCTGAGATGGAGCCCGCGTCGGGCTCTGTGCTCAGTGGGGAGTCTGCTTGGGATTCTCTCTCTCTCTCCCTCTCCTCTGCCTCTGCCTCTCACCCCCACGTTCTCTCTCTCTCTCTCTCTCGGTCTCTCTCTCTAATATAAACAAATAAATCTTTTAAAAAAAATTTTTCTAAAGTCTTATATAGTTCTCATAGTCCTTGCCCTTTTATCTCTGAGGATAAATTTAATAAAACTTTGAACTTTGCTCCTTCATTTCTCCTCACATCTTGTCCCCTCATTGCCTAATCTCACAACACATACAGTTTTTCTAAAGGGAAGCACAAATTGATAAAAATAAAGGAAAATGGATAATAAACATTGGTGTTATAGGTTTTTGCTACTACTGTAGCTTATGATCACAATTAAGTCCATGTGGTAATGTAATCTCATCTAAAACCAGGTTGACTGGTTTAGAGAGCTGACCAGCTGTTATTTCATGTCAAGTCAATACAGATTATCTGACTTCATAACACAAATGAGGCCACTTTAGAGAGTATGCATATTAGGGAAGGGTGGGGGTGGGGTCCTTGGAGAATGACATTTCTCATCCAATGGAACCAGCAAATTAAACATCTCAGAATGAAGTGTAGTTCTTAGTTTATATGCAATGATGTCTGCCATACGGATGCAAATGATTCCTGGGTTTTGAGGAGAGCACTGAAGAATTTTCATGACTCTTGTGAAAGAAGATCAATGATCTCTTTGTGCCCAGCTGCTGTTATAGTTACTGTCACAATTGACTTTACAGAGCTTTCCACTATCAGGTCAAATTAGGACTAGCCTTCATGATGCAATCTAACACTTTTAATGATTGCTCCAGGTTATGGTAGGGAAATATGACCCTGTGGTCCCTGCCACTTCTTATTTGCAGCTGTGGCCCATGGACTGAAGGTGGAACAATCTTAGCAAAAAGAAAACACAATTA